ACTCGATTTATGTATCGACGGTGAAATTGTAAAAATGCGTATTTTGTTTGCGGTGTTTCCAATTCTTTGCTCCCAGTTGGACGTATTTCTGCTAAACGGAACTACACCATCATATTTCTCAATCAATTTTGGGTGATTATAAACAGTATTCTTTTTGGAATTTTTATTATTTTCTCATCAGTTTTTATTTTCTATATGTTATTCTTTTTCTGTAATTATAAATAGTATTCTTGTTGGAATTTATTATTTTCTTTTATTTTTTATTTTTTTTATCTGTTAATTCTTTTTTCTGTTGTTTTTATAATTGCAACTATTTCTTCTGGGTGGGAAAGATGTGGTGTGTTTGTTTGAAATGCATGAGGAACTACGTAAAAGTGCGGGCGTGATTCCTTTTTTGAGAATTGAAAAGCGGGATTTTACATATATTGTGAGCCGTGGGCATGGAACAAGAGCGTTGTGGACAGGGCTCATGATTTAATGATTCGGCAACGGGGCGTCGTCGCCGCTGACGTCACTGGCGCTTTATAATTCCCATTTATCCTTACGGTTCACAATTAACGAGCACAACCGTTCTTTCCCACCCGTTTATAGTTTCATCCAACAGAAAATATGTCCATTTAATTTTAAGGAAGGAAAACAAACCGACGCTGTTGCTTGAAATTTTTATAGATAATTCTTCACACAGAGGGGGAAAAATCAGTCAGGCTTGAACATTTTTTTTCTGAAAAAATGTAGTATTAAAAAAGTCTACGACACCTCAAATTGAGATACGTGATTTGAAAAATTCTTATAGTCAAGATGTTAAAAAAGTCTTCAGCATCATTGCTGGTTGTTGGCATCGCCGCTATCGTCAAAACTGTGAACTGAGAAGTCTTCTTCACGAGATCAAAAAAAACAATAGAACGAGGCAAGACAACGTGAGAACTTTAACCTGTGTCAGCGATAAAAAAATGTGTCACCAAGGACCAAGGTAACTGGTTCCACATTTGAAGTTCAAGTTTCACGCGTCTGAGGACTTCGCAATAGGTCAGTCGCGGGTTGCGCGTGGCACAAAATTGTAGTTTGACGCTTCAGGCTCGCACACTTAGCACAGTGGGCTGATTATTGAAATTATAGAAAAAGCTATAGACAAAGAAACATTTAAGCGATCCTATTGGTTGAGGCGAATAGTTGCAATGGACAAAGTGGTAAGTAATAGACTAACCATCGGCAACGGACGGGAGATCCCACACTTAGTCCATCACTTTCCGCCAGTAGTCTATAAGAACCACACGTCTCAATCGATGGCATTACACCATTTCCTTTTTGTCTATTGTTTTGTCTATTCATTTTAATAATAAATCCGGAGATCTCTTTAGCGCAAATTTTAAATTTTTTACAAACGTCGAAAGTTTCTACGTCGAATTTAGCCCGGAGCATCGACTTAAATACAATCGTTCTGCTAAATATCTTATGCCTCCGTGCTTTGAAGGTCCTTTAACTCACGGATGGTCACGAATGTTGAAGCAATATGTCATTTTTGTTCCGAGTTCATGCCATCGTCTTGAAATGAACTCGCGCCACTCCCCCATGGGGGCTCTCAGCGTAAGCGGCTGATAGGTCATTCGCGCGTGTCATGGACTAGTGTCCTCGACTACAGATAAAGCGGCAAAAAATGGAGAGAGTTTGACTGACTAGGATAACTTTAAGGAATTGATAGACAAAGCGATAGACAAAGAAGACAAGGGAACCGGAGCGATCCTATTGATTGAACGGGTGGTATAGTTATAGACTAATGAGGGTAATGATGGGGACTAACTTTGGGGTTTCTCATGGGTTGCCGTTAGTTAGTCTATTACATTCTTTGTCCATTGCAATCACCCGCTTCCACCAATCAGATTGCTCCATTTTTTCTTTGTATTCTTTGTCTATAGCTGTGTCTATCAAGTCTAATAATCGGCCCGCTGAACTCGCTACCATGCGTAAGTTGTTCTGGTTACAGAATCGCGTTTCAATGATTTAAGCTTAATATTGGCAAAAAATTATCAAATCCGTCCGAATACGTAGTTTCTACGACCCATGTTAACGGAAGATATCGTCCATCGAAAAACACGGTGTATGATGGCATCAACCGCGATGGTGTGCACCAAGCTTTCTTTCTTTCAGAATTCATCAATTGGTTAAACACACATTTGCACTGGTTTCTCGACTTAAAAACACGGATTAAATCAAGGTGTGAGAAACCATGGTATGCATTACCGAGGCTGATGACGTCATATACCGTGTTTTTTTGAAGGGCAATATATCTCTGTTAATATCGGACGTGAACATTTGGTGTTCGGACTGAAATGAACGGGCAAGACAGGGCGTGCACGCTCTCTACTCGTCTCTGAGAAAACCCCACGTCTATGACGTCAGTATGACGTTTCACACTTCTTTCCCGATCCTATAGCAGCGTCATCGTCGACCACGTCATTTGAGTAGGAAAAATGTCTCAAGTCCGAACGCGCACTTTGTCACCATTCGGCCAAATATCATAAGCGCCATGCGACGTTTAAAAATTTCCACAGCCAATTTATTTTTTACAGAGGAATCGTTCAACGTAGCTGTCCCAAAATTTCACTGAATTTTTTTTGTGCTGCCGATAAAGGTCAATGAAATTTTCAAACAGATTCAACCAACAAATTGTAAAAAAACAAAATGGCGGCGGAAATTTTGAAATGATGAATGGCGCTTGTGATAATTTGGCCGGAAGGTGACGACTTGACGATTTGCAAGATTTCTTCTAAAATCACTCCTGTCATAAGTATAAGCGACAGAGGATATTTTCGCTCCAAGCGCGCGCGTGGACCGCACGAATGCGGAGGGGGGGGGGGGGGTGGTCGTTGCTTGATCCTTGTTTATTCGCCGTGTTGTTATTACTCCGTTTGTTCGAACGACGAGTTGCGAGTCGCTGTCACGCAGTTTAACACGAAATTTCGGGGAATTTTGCCGCGAGAAATCTCGTAAGCGTTCGCCTGCAGTGTTGCAGTCTCCGGTCCATCCACCTGTTCATCCATGTAGCAGTGTTCAAGTGTTGCCGTGTCCGTTGAGCATTTGATGAGTCATCGCTGTGTCGGAAAATTCGCCTAGTTTCGGTAAACTGCGATCAATAAACCAAGCAGGATTTGTATTTCCACTCTCCAAACGTAAAAGTCTTGGCGGCGCGCCAAGATGTAACAAATAATGACGTGAAATTAATATAGCGCAAATTAATGTGACGGATTGATCTCTCCACCACCACGTCGAGGCGCGCGATGCTAACGAGAACCGGCCGGCTTTATGTGCCGCCTCCACTGCCTGTCGAGTTGGTCGTTTTGAGTCAGTCGCGATTTTCCAGCTTTCCTCTCTCGTTCGCAGCCCTACGCGAAGTGCAAACAATTTTTCGCTGTGCGGGTATATCCCACTTGTGACTCAAAATTTCGCGTCATTCCGGTGCGGATAGTGCGCAGGTCAGAGAGTGTCAGATGTGTGAGCAGCCTCCAACGTGTGTGGTGCCGTGACGGTTCAATTTTTTTTTCTTTCGCTTTCTGAAAAAAATGACTGTTTAAAAATTCTCGCTGAATCAATGTTCGCAGACTTGATACACACCGTGGGTTGATCCGACTTCAAACTTACTTGTTAACTCGATTTTCATAGATATGATTATCTTGTCAGATCCCATTCATAACTGAAAGCATTCCTGGAAAGTCATTCACGAATAAACACTCGTAGTATTACAAATGAGCGAGCCAGCCTAAATCTGACCTAAATCGTATCTGATCTTACAATTTATCTAATCTAAATCTGAATAAGGTTAGTGTCCGCAGACAAGCAAACTTTAGTTTCATAGCGAATTATGAAAAACTTTACTTGCATTCAAGAAATTTCTCTTGGAATTTTTTACTAATTTTGACTCATTTGTAGGAAATGAAAAAAAATGGCTGTAACGCAATACTGAACAATTTGACCGCTGGTAAGAATCCGACACTTTACGATGAAATTGCCTTCAAATTTGATAAATCAGACCAACAATGAGTTTGCTTTACTTTGATTTCCTTTTTATTTATTATTTCTTACTACTTACTATCTTGGGATTTTGGGTCAGAAAGGGTTAAAAAAAAATCCAGGATAAATTATTAGAAATGTTCAACATTGATGTGCGTGCCTAGTCGCAATGATTTCTCACGAAACTGACCTATCACGGTTACATTTTGATCAGCTAGTTCTCACCAGAGAGTTTTAGCACTAAACAGGTTTTAATTTCGAGTCGAATCAGACGCGCGCCCACTTCGCGGAGGTAAACAACAAATACGATATAACTCGCGCACCCACAAGTGGTGTTTTTCATGAATATTTCATTCGTAAGAGTGTAACAAAGAGAAATTATTCCCTTAAAAGTTATATGCCCAAATCCACAAAAGCAATCGAGCAGCAGTGGTGCAAGTCTTTTAATTTCTGTGTTTCCATCGATTCAATTTTATCGAGATTTACATTTTTTTAAAAGTGTTCGCGCCTATTAATTCAAAGCTTTATCACTCTCTTAAAATTGCTAAAATGCAAACAATTTTAGAATTTTAAAAACAAGCCTTTTGCACACCAGTTCATTGCCACTTTATTGAAAGTGAGATGGTTCTATTTCAAGCTTTTTGAAAATTTTTAAGATTAAAATTTTGAAATAGTTTTCATTTTAACAATTTCATCGCGTGTACTTACTGTCGTGCTAAGGAAAAACGCCGTATGCACCTTCAGGCGTTGCCAAATTGCCTTCGATAAAGCAAGTATTCCCTGCCAAACTTACGAATATTTTTCCTCTAATTTCTCAGCTAATTTTGTTCGCAATTTCAGCTAAAGTTCCTGAAAATCGCAAGGAAAAATATTCGTAACTTCCCCTCAAAATACGCATTTTCTTGAAGGAAATTTGGCAACTCTCGAATGATTATACGGCGATCTTCCTTAGCACGGCAGTATACATTTGCTCAGCTTTCATCTATCCTCGATATCTTTCTTTGGTGGTAAAAGTCGAGCCGACGTAGTGAATTATCGATCGCTTTTGTGAAAATTCTCAGACGTTCGTTCCTCGCAGTGCAATTAACTGAGTTTGGATATGTGCGGTATGTACTAAACTGATTATAAACGTTAAAATTTTGATCGTGCCCGGATTGATAACTCTCAAAAATGGACGAGGAGTCCATGTGGAAGCGCTTGGAGCCCAACCCCAGTGATGATAGCGCCGTATGCAAAGCCCCGTCCTTAAACGACGATTGGAAATCCTTCCACGAGAAGTTGAAGCATCCCCAGAAGTTAAACCCCGAATCTTTGCATGACATAAGGTGATTAATTTATATTTATATTTTGTTCCTTTAAATCATTGTTGTCCATCAAGACTCAAATCTGGCATCACTCTGCACTTGAGTCGTTTGTAATGAAGTCCGACAAAAGGGGCGCGTCTGGAAGAAAATTAACCATTGGCGGAGCAAACTGGCAACATTGTATTTTTTCCATTTAAACCTATGGAAACGTATCGATTCTTGGAAGGGCCAAGTGCTCCGATAAGAATCGATTATTTAGCATAGGTTTAAATGGAGGCAATCCGGTGTTGCCAAAGTGCTGGATTCGCCTCTGAAATTATCTCAGGTAACTTCTTGTATCAGAACGTGTACCTGCACTAGTTAGCTGCTTAGCGGGGTTGATTCTGTATCTTTTGGTGTTAAACCATCCCTTAATTCCTATGGTCGATGATTTGAGAGTTTAAAGTCACAGAGAAAGATAAATCACGCCATTTTATTTCACTTAAGAAAAAAAAATAACTAAAAGTTTGCAGGCGTTGTTGCCAGCTTTAGAAACAATAATATCAGAAGTTCGCCGTATTATCGATGCACATTTTTCAAAATGTTGACGTCTATGATTTTGTTTTTGATTTTTTTTCCACAACACATTTTTAAAAAAAACCTGTGCTTTTTCAACATTTTTTGACGTAGCCTTTTTACCCTCGTGTGATATTTTTACCATTCGGAATCGTGAATGCCAGTGATAATGTACAATCATCATTTTATGATATTTAGACCATGAAATGGATGTATTTCTGCCAAAAGGAACTATGTGCATTATGACGTGAGCCCTGTTTTGCATGTATTCTTACGGATCTCAGAGCTCATGTCTTAATGCACATAGTTCCGTTCGGCAGAAGTACGTTCGAATATAGGAACGGTAATTACGACCTGTGAAAGGACCCCTCAGGCACTCCCATCAAATTTTTAATACTAAAAACAACGCGTCTGTAAGTGTTTCTCGTACTGCCCGAAAGTTTTTATCAGCTCATTCATGAATCATATAATCGAGGCTGCGAACGAATATAATTATCGAGATAAATCCTTCGCAGGAGACTACGATTCTCCCGAAATGCCGATTCATTTGACTCTTACTCTCCCGGTCTCGCCATGTCGACCTTGCAAAATTCCTTGCGAGTGATCATTAAAAGTGTATTTTCCCACTTTATCGTTGACCGCTTTGCTCGACTTCGAAGGATACAATGATCACGTTTGATCTCAAATACTCAAGCTCCGCAATGTATGATCTTTACAAGACTATCTCTATATCTGACTCCCTTAGTTTTCTCCTTTTTGAGCCGCAAGCTCATTCGAATTTTATAATATTTCGGCTACACTGAGGATTTTTATTACCACGAAGCGGCCCACTGTGGATCGAGTTAATAGGAGAGGTCGGACAAAATTTGGAAACTTTAAAAGCTCATAACTCCATTCATATAAACTTTGAGGTTCCCAATTTGGTTTTCTCGTAAAAATTTTCTTATAGACAGGGCAGGATTTACCTACTTGCCGCCCATGGGCTGCCTGTATTTTGCCGCCCCCTTCTCATTCGTTTTGAAACATAAATAAAAAGAATCAAGTGAACGTGCCAGCGGGGGAGGATGCAGGAGACGCGTTTACTTGTGTCGGACACATTTTTTGGGAAAGCCCTTTCAACACTACTAGCATAAGTTCACCGAACTTTGTGCGAAAGTTAAGTTCCGTAAATCTATCTCTGTGTGGACAAGGCCTTCCATTCATAAGAAATGAACGAAAAAATTATGAAAGAACAAACATAAATGTAGTTTAATGATTTTAACTTCCGCCGCCGCGCCGCGCAGACTGCACGGCGCAATGCGTGAAGTATTCATGCATTCTTGTAGGCGCTATCCGTTTCACGCTGACTGCAGTGACCGCACTGTGTTTGATACAATGCGTAAAGTATTCGCACAGTCTTGTAGGCGCTAATATGTGTTACATGCCGACCGCCGCGCCGCGCCGAGGGCTTCTCCTTTTCATCTCAAGTCCTCGTCATCATTTCTCTCTAAGTCGCGCCGTTCCAGGTCAAATTGCGTGTTTGGTTTCTCTCTTAACTCGACTAATTAAAGGTGCTGTCTCTTGTATCACTGAAAGACGATAAAATTAGAAATTACTATACTCTCAGGAAATGAGAGATTTTGTTGCCTTTTCTCGTACGTAATTTTTTTTTCTAAATTCGATTCTTTTATACCTACGTTTAAAAAAATTGCAAAATTTGCCGCCCCCTAGATTTGCCACCGTGGGCCGCAGCCCATGTGGACATCCCCTTAATCCGGCTTGCTTCTAGAAGTATTCTTTCGAATTTAAAATGTGACAAAATAAACATCAAAATTTGCAGTTTTAGTAAAAAATTTCATGTCCGACTTCTCCGAATGACTCGATCCACTGTGTGGCCCACTGAAGAAACAAAATGTTTGGCGGGAATCCTACCGTGTAGTGGCCGGAGGGGGGGGGGGGTTCCTGGTTTAGCATTATCTGGCCTGGATCCTCCTGCAAATTTCTTAGCGTGAAAATTGCTCTTTTAAGACGCTACGCAAATTTGTTGAACGGAACATATCCGTTTTCAGGTAGATCCCCTCCCAAAACGGTAGTGATTTTAAAATTAACTTGTTCCCCTCGCAGAATGGTCGGTCCATATACGTTGCTGTATTACTTCTAAACGTTACGTGAGCATCCAAGTGCTGCCAATTCAATCTTTGAAGAAAGCAAATTAATAATGAACATCTTCCCTTGAACTTTTTAGATTCTCTAGAGTAATTTAAGAGCTAATAAACGTCGTCCAAAAAAATTGAAATTCGTTAATTTCCCGAAAGTGTGTATCAGTTTGTATTACGAGTATTCCATCATATTTTGATTCTTTGATATATGACTGATTATCGTCTTCGCAGAAAATTCTGTGAGATTTCCCTTCGCTGTTTCAAGAATCTGCTGCGAAAACCTGTCGTAAAAATGTCTCGGAAATTCTCTTTAAAAAGTAAGAAAAGAAGCGGAAATTTGGCAACATCGCAGTTGACGTACATGTTTCCGTAGTTTGCCCGCCAACATGCGGGTAGTAGATTCCCGTGCTATGGAAGAACGACGCATACGCCTGCAAACGTTACACAGTTTCTTTTGATAAATTTTTGATTTTCTGAGAAACTTGTGAATATTTTTCTTCCCATTTTTAAGAGAAGTTAGTCCGCAATTGGATCCAAAGTATCTGAAATTTAAGAGAAAAAATGCGTTATTTTCGACCAAAAATTGTTTCAACATCTGATCGCCCATACGGTGTTTTTCCTCAGCATGGCAGTAGAGAGACTTGCTGCCGGTCATTTCGGTAGTTCCTAGAACCCTGCATAACTATTTCCGCACCTCAATTACCGCGCTGTACCCCTAACCCCCACCGCCCCCGACAGTCCCCTTGTTTGAAGAATCAATGTTTTTGCAGAGAGCGTGCGTCACTTGTGATACGCTCCGTTGCGCTCCTTGTATGCGTAGGGGTGTGTTGAAGGGGGGGGGGGGTTGCGCCTCTTCATTTCTGATTCACGCGAAGGGGCCAATTAAATAGTGGAAAACGAACGACTTCCCTTCGAACTCGTTTTCTGCAAGATTGCCCTCATCCGCGATCGCTGATTCTTGGTGAATCGTGATAATTTTGAACTGTCAAGTGCGCGCGAGTAACAAAATAAAATGAGTAGGTATGAAGCAAATATGTCCTCGTCGAATTGAACGAGGTATGGTTTTGTTGAATTTGCAGATGTCTGCATTTTTTTAATTTTACGTCTAAAAAGAAGCTGCCGAGTGAACTGAGTGTGAGAATATACTTGGATTCTAACATGAACAATTATTAGAGGAAACGTGACCGAATTACCCAATCTGCTAAAGTTCATGTCTTTAAATGGGGAATGCCGCCTGATGACGTCACAAGGCGGCATATTTTCTTACTTTTAAATCTATTTTTCTGAGCATAAAGGTCATTTTCGTATACAATTTCCCATCCCCGAAAAAAATCATGAAAATTATTGCATATCGACGGTGAAACTACCAAACCACGTATCTCGGTTTGCGACGTCGCAGACTTCCTGTCATACTTTATTTTTTAAATAAAAAACTACTTAACATCCAGTCTTGAAAATTTCTGTGATTTTTCCTCTTTGTGCGGAGAAAATTCCGTGAAAATTTCAAGGAATGATATTGATTTGGTCTACTTCAAAAAAATAAAATGTGAGCTTAGATTTTTAAACACCGCAAACGAGATACGTGGTTTGGTAGTTTCACCGTCGATATGCAGCTCATGCAGTTTTTTTCTCGTGCAAATTCTCCATTTTATGCAACCTCCGTCAAACCTCCTTTTTTCCATTTTTCATTCTTATTGTTAGTGAAATATTAAATTTCCAACGCTTATAGTGAAAGTTACGTTCAATAGTATTATTATGATGTATCAACCCTTGTGTTTCCTCTGTTTTGCATTTACTTTGCTAATTGCTGCTTCAAAGGTTCGCTTCGATTCTTTTCGCAATAAGTTACAGGATCACATTGAAGTAATTTGTTGCATACCGGCACTATTATTCGGCGCGAGTAACTATACTGTAGGTTAAAGAACCATATCTCGGTTCATTCAACTTAGCTTTTGTCTATAGTTTGGTTTGGAAGTTAAATCCGTATGCGGATTTACTTTGAAATCAGTTTTTTTGAGTTAAAAAAACGTTATTTTGCCATCGTTTTTTAACATAAACCCATTTACATATATAGTGATAAGAGAGCGAGAGACACAATAGCCCGAATGCAGACAACAATAGCCCGAATGCAAACAACAATAAAAACACACTAAAATACAAAAACTACATAAAACAACAATTCTTTCACCAAAAAAAAAAATAAATAAATGTAGACAAGAAACGACGCTTTAAGTCAAAATAATCTATCAAGAACATTTGTTTTCAGTGTAAATTTAATATACCTAGAGCGTATGAAGCATTATCTCCTAGCATAAAAACCCCGCGTGG